TGCATAATAACTGTAATATTCCCCACCGGTTTTCAATTAACTTTAGTGTATAAACTTTGTTTTGAAAACATGTTCTGAGTAAATATGACTTGATGGGCAGCTAGGATCTCCTCATTAACTTGTGACTAAGCACTTTTCTTTAAACTATATACTAGTGGCTTCTTTCAGTAAGAGAGCAAGCACTACCTTTGTGGATTTCATTGCTAATGTAGAAGGACTTGTGTACATATATAATGGTCTTTTTTACTGTATTAAAACTCACTTTTAACACAGGTATCATTTGTGCTGGTTGATTATTTAAAACAGCTTGAAGGGTCAAAAAATTCATAACTCAATATTTGCTCTCCCTCTTTGCCCTTTGTGTTTTAAAGACTTCTAAATTGCTTGATGGTAGAGTATAATTGTTGTATCCATAGACATTAGCAGTTATATTCACAGGTGTTTGTTTTTTTATGGACAGCATACCAATTTCTAGAGTTGTGCAACAACCTCGAACTCAAAACAAATTAACCTAAAATAGTCCATCAATACAGTCCAAGCATGCAATGTTTTAATAACTGTAGACCAGGAGTGTCAAACTCAAGTCGTACAGCGGCATCACGTGACATATTGGGACTTTCCCCCCCTTTGCTAAACTGGGCATGGGCGTGGTCAGTGCGTGACGCATCCGGCCCGCGGCCCTGGTATAGAATAAAACCTGTATTTTTTTGTTTATGTTGTACCCTTGGAAGCAATGAAAAGTCAAAGTAATCCACTTTGAATCTTTTTTTCATCAATATCTACAAAGATAAGTTGGGTGATATTCCATGTTGAGTATTATGTATTGCCTTAGGAAAAAAAATAGGGACAAGGCAATTGTTTTCATATTTAATTAAAAACCAGCAAACAAAGCAATAATTAAGCATGTATTTTTCAACACCAGCTCTCAATCAAAAAGGCAATATTTAGTAATGGTTTCACTTCAGTCCAGCTCATGAACAACTACAAACAGAATGCATTTTTTCCAGCTATCAATTTATATATTTTTAATGTTCATGTACAATACACTTTATATATATTTGGCCCTGTCTTTAAAGTTCAGGAGATGAATAAAGCAACATGTTTAGTATTTGGTAACTTGAAGACTGACTAGCAAAGTAACTATAATGCACACATGCTGTGTGTTATTTTGTATTTGGCAATCTGTCTATAAAAGAAAGCATAAAAGACACAGAACATATGGGCGACACCACATTACAACATAACATCTCAAAACAAATCATTAAAAGTGGAAAATAAACTTACCTAATAGGTAAACCAGAAGATAATTTCCTCCAACTAGCTCCCCCCAGTGGCAAAAGGAAAATTACCAGTTTTATTTATTAACGCGCTGAGTCTCTGGTTGACTCGAGGTGTTAAAAAAAATAAAACTGGCCTATAAAGACATCCAAAACATGAAGTAAACATGAAATTTGTTCTTTCTGCAAATGAAACTCCAGAAGATTGTTATTCCAAACTCAAGCAGCCAGTGTGTTAAAAAAAAAAAAAGCCCTTTGTCAAATATTAGGTGTCGAATCAGCTTGATGGGAGTAGAGATTTTCCTACCTGTGGCTACTAGAGTCCAGATAGATTGGGTATTGTCAGGTCCTGCACTGGTGGACTGAGTCTGCGTTAAAACTGAAACTGTGCCTTGCGCTGTGGCCAGTTTTCGACTCAGTCCAGCCAGGACAGGATGTGAGTTGCTGAGGCTCCATTTGAATCGCAAGTGGAGGCCTTTTTTTTTCATAGAGAAAAAAAAATTCGGTTTAAAGTGCAGCAGAGGCTTTTGGAACTCTCAGCAGCCAAGGAGGGAGGCTTTGCCTCCAGGCTTGGCGATCACCCTCAGGGCAACTGCCCTAGCGCGCAGAGCTACGACCACGTGGAGTAGCTCCAGGAGATCGGGCCTATAAGGGCCATCAGCTGTTTTGCGCAGTAGCGCAGAAGCAGCACAGGCGGCAAGCCCGATTTTCGCTTTCGTTTCCAGATCGCCTGGCTGCAATGCACTCAAGAGTAGCAGCAGCGGCTCCAGGGGCAATCGGCTCAACAGGAGGCTTTGCAGCAGCGCAAAGCAGCCACTTGATTGGGCAATCGGCCCGATCCCAGTGGGGGGGCGCAGCCGCGTGGTAGCGGTTGGCACTGAAGAGTGGCAAGGACAGGTTCGACCCCAGCTGAGGGCGCAGATTGACCACATTGCCAGGGCTGTGATTCTAGCTTCAGAACTGAGATGAATCGTGTGGGTGTCAGTAGACCTGTACTCAGGTCCATGATTGTGGTGACCAGCAGGGTGTGGCTGCAGCCCAGCAATAGGCCTATACAGGCTTGCTTTGCTGGTTTACAGGTAACAAGACCAAAATTTATTCTGGATGGGGCTTTACTAGTAAGATTTATTGGAGATTGTGTTTTTATCACCTCATCCCTCCCCCAGCAGGATCCATCCTCCCTCTGGCTGTTTCTTTTGTTTAGCCTACTCTCCCTGTGGGATGGCATATAGGGATCAGGAAAGGGAACACAGTCCCTCCACTTCTAAAGGCCGATCCCGGGGCAGGCAGAAGAGAAAGCTCCTGAATCCAAAAGACCTTCCAGAGAGGAGCAAGAGGCCTTAAACAGGCAAAAGGCACCTGGAAAACAGATGGAAAAACGGCACCATGTGGCTGGGGGGAGGAGAAGATCACCACTCCCTGAGGAATCAGATTCTGCTGATCAACCTCCAGTATTGCAACTGGAGACTGGCCTACTTCTGCTGTATCTCTCCCACGTGTTTGGTCACCTGACAATTCTTCGGCTATTGGTGATCCAATATCTATAGAACAGAGGTGGGCAACTATGGCCCTTTTATGACTTGTGGACTTCAACTCCCAAAATTCCTGAGCTAGCATGGCTTGCTCAGGAATTCTGGGAGTTGAAGTCCATAATTCATAAAAGGGCCATAGTTGCCCACCCCTGCTATAGAAGAACCTGGAGAGGATGAAGGTGATTCCCAAACAGCAGGCCTGGAGGAACCATTGCCTCCACCTCCCAAGAGGGCTAGATCTATGGCTGAGGCGACTTTTACACCTACAGCAGCTGGCCTACGTAATCTGAAGAGGATGAGGAAGCTTCCCTGCGCATCTGGAGGCTATCATCTCCAAAGCCATAAGAAGGGGAATGGTGGAAGTTCTCCAGGTAACGAGGAGGCCTGAATCAGTGGTGTCAGAACACCCAGACCTGGAAGGGTCATTTCATGAGAGAAGCAGAGAATCCTTAAGGGACAGGAACTCTCCTGACCCTTCCACACATAGCATTACCTATAAGACACCTGAATATGATAAGAGGGAGTCAGACTTCTCTGATGATGAAGATATGGCCCCAGAAAGACCTTCATTCACAGGTATCTTTGATGTTCAAAAGTTCAGGGCATTATTGTTTAAGGCCAAGAAGACGGCCCACTTGGGACCAGGAGCAGATGTCAGAGTAGTAGAAGGGGACAGTGCGCCACCCCCAAGACCAATTATTTGACGAACCTACAGTTTGGCCCGAAATGGTTCCAGTTCCCAGATTATTCTTGAATGTAATCAAGAAACAGATGGAATCCCCGGGAACATCTGCCATGCTATCGGCCAACAAATGCCGCTTCTTTACTATGGGCCTGAACTCACCAGGTCTTTGCAGGTACCATCTGTGGATGCCCCAGTGGATGCTTTCTTCCTCTTCAAACCCTGCTGATCCAGAAGAGGCATTGAAGGCAGAGGACAAGAGGATCGAGCAATCCTTCCAACGTACCCACCTGGCGACTGCCTGGGAAGTGAAGTCTTTATGAGGTCTTAAGGTGGCTGCACCAGTTGAGGGTACCAGCATCAGATGTCAGAGTACATCAAGACATTTACAAACTGGTGGCTGTGGCTGAATTCACTGCGGATGCAACCCTAAACAGTGCCAGGTTTGCCTCTAAGGCCATCGCTACTTCGATAGCAGTCCGCAGAATGATCTGGCTTAAGAACTGGTAAGCTGACAGGCGACGGAAGTGGAAAGTGGCATTGTCCCCCATCAAAGGGGATAAATTGTTTGGGGAGGTCTTGGATCCCCACCTGGTGGAGACCAGGGATAAGAAGAAATACCTCCCCTCTCTGGCAAGGCGCTTCAGTTTTAGGGCTGCTCCATATGTCCGTAGGTCATCTTTCAGAGGAGAGGGATCCTCCGGGGCTCAATGTACAAGCATTTCCGGATGCATTCACTGCAGTCTATTTTGGCAAGCATCAGCATCACCTTCACATTAGAATTTGTCAAATACACAGAGAGTATTTACGCTCAGCTATGAAGGCAAACACTTCCAATATAGGGCGATGCCAATTGGGCTATCCTCTACACCCAGGGTGTTCACCAAGATTTTAGCTGCCTTGGCAGCTCACTTGAGAACCATCCCTATAAGAGTACAGTGTTACCTGGATGATATTTTGATCCAATCATCACGTGACTGGTTCCTAAGGGATCTCCATACCACAGTTTCCCTGCTACAGGACCATGGCTTTTCTATTAACAAGAAAAGTCATTTCTCACCAACTGCATGTTTATTACATCTGAGCACAAAGATTGACACATGGCGAGGGAGGTGGTGAGGGCACATATGTCCCCTTTAGCTCTTCTTTCGCAACTCTTGGGGAAGATGATTTCATGCATCTCGATTGTACCTTGGGTCAGACTTCATTCTAGAAAACTACAGTGGTTTCTATTGCCCCACCAAAAGGCGGGCAGAAGTCACTCATCTCTCAGGGTCACAATCCCAACATCTGTCAAACAGTCCTTATCATTGTGGTCTTCTCATGCTTTGAATGCAGGGCAATTATTCAAAGAGCCATCCCATGTGGTTATCACTACCGTTGCCAGTTTCTATGGCTGGGGAGCTCATCTGCAGTCTCAGATCGCCCTTTCTTCAGTATTGTTCTTACACAGGAAGGGTTCCCTGTCTCAAAACCTTTTTCTGAAAGGGGCCACCAACTTTAGTCCTCTGGTGGTTCATAGATTCCCTACTTGGGATCTCCCCAAAGAGATCTTAAGGCGTTAATGACTGAGCCATTTGAACCACTTAGATCCATTAATTTACACCATCTATCACTCAAGGTTGCTTTTCTTGTAGCATCACATGGGCTAGGAGGATATCAGAGATCGCTGCCCTTTCAGTTAGGGAGGATTTGTGTATTTTCCATCCTGATAAGAGTAGTGTTACAGTTAGACCCAACTTTCATCCCAAAAATTAATTCTAGATTCCACAGGGCTCAGGAGCCTCGTTCTCCCTAATATTTGTCCAAATCCTTCCTATAATTTGGAGAGGGTGTGGCATACTCCGGATGTACGCAGAGCCTTAAGGATTTACATCCAGCGGACACATCCTATCCGCAAGTCGGAGGCACTGTTTGTGTCCTTACAACCCAGCAAGTTAAGGTTAAAGGTGTCTCCAAAGACTGTGGGCAGATGGATTCGGGCCTACATTGCCAAGGCTTATCTGAGCAGGGCTCTTCCGGAGCCTCGTGGAGTGATGGCTCACTCAACCAGAAGTGCAGCAACTACGGCGGCATGGGCTACTCATGCGCCCATTGAAGAGATCTGCAGAACGGCCACATGGTTTTCACAGTCTCCTTTCATTCGGCATTACTGCCTGGATGCCTTTGCATCAGCTGATGCTGCTTTTGGCAGAAGAAGCACAAGCGCTAATGTGAGTAGGACTAGACTCTTGCTCTCCCTGGGACAGGCCGGCTTTGGTATGTCCCAATCTATCTGGACTCTCGTAGCCACAGATAGGAAAATGAAAATTGGGTTACCTGAATGTTCCTTTTCTTCTGTGGCGTAGAGAGTCCAGCCCCACCCTGGTTCATCTGGTCTGGGTGCGGGTTGTGGGGAGCAATAATGTGTGTTCTTTTTATCTCTCAACTCCAGAATCACGTCCAGTCTGCTAAGTGCTTCGTTGAAAGCTGGGGCACGGCGCAAGGCGGAGCTCCAGTTTTAACACAGACTCAGTACACCAGTGCAGGATCTGACAATACCCAACCTATCTGGACTCTCTACGCCACAGAAGAAAAGGAACATTCAGGTAATCCAATGTTCATTATGGGTCATTTGCATGCAAGAAGTTCCAAATTTGGTCTTTTTCGCATCCTTCCTTTTGTAGAATAAGAGTAGAATAATATGTGCCAGAGGCAGGCTGCCAGTCAAGCTGCAGGATTCTGGTCTAATGGTTCACTGATCTGTTATTAGTGATTACATTTTAAATACTTTCCTCTGAGACATCTCTCTAATTTTTAATCACTTTTCTAAACATAAGCATAACACCGATGGGCTGCCCATATCTCAACTATTAAATGGGAAAGGAAGCAATATGAGGGAAAGGAGGAGCATATTCAATGATCTGAAGTACATATGTACTAGGTGTACAAATGGAAGTTTATACCAAAAGTGTTTTAACTGGAAAACAGTTGCCACAGAGGTATTTGGGAACAGTTGCCACAGAGGTATTTTTGTGAAATAACTGGAACCAGATGAAAAGAAAAACGAAATGTTTCCACCTCAGTTCTTCTTCCTCAATTTCTGACTTACATAGTTTGAAAAAGGAAGGCTTTCATCGTAACTGAAGGAAAGCTGTGCAGTCTTCAGATGCAGTTCGTTAAACAGTTTGCGCAGTCATCCAAGGCAACCCTTTGATTACAATACACCTTGAACCAGCTGCTTTGATTATGATATACCTTGAAGCATTTCTACTTTTCTCCTGGCATCGCAGAAGAAATGGAGTTTCCTGGGCAACAGCTTCACCTCCACTGTCATTGCTTCATGCTCTTCATTGTCTATAGCTAAAGAGCCTTCTGTATCCTGCCGACACAAAAAGATCAAGAGATTTTTCACACAACAGGACAACAAAGCAGACATGCTGCCTCCAGCTACATCCTGACAGTGGTTTTCCTTAGAATTCTGCAGCACCAGGGCGTGCAGCGAAGATGTGACAATCGTGTCCCGAATGGGATAATGTCCTCAATTACAGCTCAATTGTATTGCCACAGAACTAAACATTTTGTTAGGTTTTCCAGCCAATAGATATCTGGGTTCATGTTTCACTGTACACTGCTTTTTTCTTAATCATGGTGTTGAATAAGCCAAAATTTGGCTGGATTTACATGACATTCTATGCCAAAACCCAAATACTTTTCATTAGGACTTTGTGTGATACAGGACCTAGCCAGTGAGACAAAAAAAAATTATGCAAGGATGATAATTGTCCAATATATCATTCATTCATTCATTCATACATACATACATACATACATACATACATACATAACTTTTTGCTGGTATTTATATGTATGGTATTCAGCTTTGTTCGGGTATTTTCCCACGTCATTATAGTTGTGGTTTTAAATTTGTAGCAACGTTTTAGCAGAATCTCATCTGCCATCATCAGGCTTCTCATGGCAGATGAGATTCTGCCAAAACGTTGCTACAACTTTAAAAACACAACTATAATGACGTGGGAAAATACCCAAACAAAGCTGAATACCACACACACACACACATATATGTATACACACACACACACACACACACACACACACATGAAAATGTAGTTACCAATAGCAAGGGTATGAATGCTGATCAATCAGACTATGTCAGTCCACAGGAACATGAGAATCTGCGTCAAAGCTCACTTAAGCAAAACTCATCTATTCCATCTCTTTACATAGAAAGAAGAAAAGCCACCACTCTTTTCTAAGGTGGGAGAGAATAAAAGCAGCTCAATGTGCATCACAGCATTTGATTTCTCACCTCTGGAAGCTGCAAAACACACTTGCTAGCCTGAAGACATTGACTTCCTTCAGGACACAAGTGGGGATCCTTCATCTTTTGGCTTCTGTGCAAAACAAGATACGAGAAAGACAGGAAAATATTTATGCATATCATTTACAGTATGAGCAAACAAAAAATAGTAAAGGGAGCTGGAAAAAACTTCAGAAGCAAATAGTACAATCAAATAAAGTTCACCATTTTACATTATACTACAAAACAGTGTAACATTTTTACACGAACCATTCTTTCAAAGACTTGAGGCATTGTGTACACACATTTCTAAGAGACAAATTGTTTCTAAGGAGTTTCGTGCCTGTAAGGTTTGAACCTAATCTGTGCGATCCAAGAACATTTGCTATTGTTATTGCTACTATGTACACCTATATGCAAATAAGGAAGGAACTGGAGAATTGTTAGGAAAAAGCTTGCAAGATTCTGTTATTCTACCCTAAGATAAAAACATTTCTGGAATCCCTGCCATGTCAGTTCCTTGACCTTGCCCACTTAAAAAAAGTGATACCTAGAGCTTCTAGTGAAGATGTGCTATAAGTCTAACAAATAATAAGGAAATCTGTTACTGCACTGAATTTTGGCATGGTAGAAAACTCCAGAATCTTTTTTTTAGCTTTAATCACTCTTTGAAATAAATATTTCTTATTAATATTTACAGAGCAAATGAATAAATGAAATCTATGGCTATGATAAGGTAGATATGTTCTCTATTATTCACCCTCTTTGTATGGCTATGATAAGATATATAAGACAGGTTCTCTAATACTCACCCTTTTTTTACGTAGTCTCCCCTACTGATTGCATCCGATTCAATACAAATATTCATGAAGTCTTCTTCACGCTGAAACAAGTATTTCCAAAAGAGAAATGTTAAGTATTTCCAAAAGAGAGATCCCGGCATCTCACAAATATTCCAGGCATATTTGTGAAAATTATTTGTTTTTTTCTTATGAGAAGGTAGTCTAACATTTACTCGTGTATGGATTAAAAAGACAGAGTCAGCTACTAAAGACAGCAGAAACTGTGGAAGGAATTTAAATAAACTGGTTAAGGATAAACGTAAACAGTGATTGCCTAAAATCAAGAAAGAAGAAAGCAAATCTGAACAAACCATTGAATTTGAAGAGAGGCAGAGAGCCATGAAGCTCTCAGAAATGAACTTAACAAAAAATTTCAGAAAGATGTTAGAAGATAACATTCTATATACCATATAGCGCCGTGGTGGCACAGTGGTTAGAATGCAGGATAATTCAGCTCACTGCCAGATACTCGGGCCTGACTGGCTCAAGGTTAGCCTTCCATCTTTCCAAGGTCAGTAAAATGAGGATCCAGATTGCTGGGGGCAACATGCTGACTCTGTAAACTGCTTAGAGAGGGCCGTAAAGCACCATGAAGCGGTATATAAGTGCTCTTGCTCTATCAAAGAAAGATGACATAACAACAGTATGCAAACTGTTGTACAACAGCCTTAATTTCACATGCTAACAAAATAATACTTGGGATCATCAAACAGAGGTTAGAGCCCTACATGGAAAGAGTGATGCCAGATATTCGAATTGGCTTTAAAAAATGCTAAGAACGTAAGATATTATTGATGAGAAATACTGGATAACTGAGAAAGTTAAAGACTGCCAAAAAGAAGTCGCTATATGCTTCATTGATGATAGCAAGTCTTTTGCGTCAATCCTATGTCAATCATGACAAACTGTGACATGTACTTAGAAAAATGGGAACATCAGAAAATCTTATTAGCCTTATATGAAAACTATACACAGATCAGAAAGACAAAGTCCAGGTGGAACACGACAAAATAGAATGTTTTCCTATTTGCAAAGGAATGAAATAAGACAGTATACTCCCCCTCTTTTTATTCAATCTATATAAAGAGTATAAATAAAGGGAAGATTGATAGAAAGAAGATGGATGTGGCTTTAAGGCTGAAGAAAGAAACATCAATAATCTGCAGGATGCACAATTTGATAGCTGAAAATGCAAATGATATTCAAGCTCCGTAGCTGGAGATCTGAGTGAAAAAGGAGCAGAGTGAAAAAAAATAATCATTCTTTGATAACCATAAAGAAAATCAAAGTAAGACAACAGATTCAGCAACCAGGTTTAAAAATGGCAATGAAGATCTGAAGTGGTAGATAATTTCTGCCTTCAAGGATTGATTATCAATAGTAAAGGAATTAGCAGTTAAGAAATATACCACAAAATAGCACCTAATGGTCAAATGGGGGAAAAATTATTAAGGGAGGGAGGGTTTGAACTTCTATTTTCTTACTTTCAGGTCGAGATTCCTGTTTTGAGTAGTGACAGAGAATTCAAGGGCAGACAGTGGAATTTCATTCCAGGCCTCTGGAGTCTCTTCCTTTGGGATTTCTGAGGTCCAAGAGAGAAAAGAAAATTAAGTAAAGTGTTAGACAATGCACCATTTTATTTTGCTTGGGTTTTGTTGTTGCTGTTTCATCATTCTGTCCTTTTATTTATTATTTGTTAAATTTTATTTGCTGCCTATCTCACCATAGGGCTACTCTTACCTTACAGTAATAAAAAGGAAGAAAAATGCAGGTAAAATAATAGAACAATAAAATAAAGAATGACAAAGATACACAACAGGATAATATATCAATATGATAACCAAAAAGATGGATAGGTGGAGACCAGAGAGCAAGCAGGGAAGATGGGAATCTGCTATCAATCTAGCAGCCACCTCCAGGGTGAAACTCCCCCCCTACCCACGCCAACTGGTAGGGCCAGGACTTAACTTTGTGCATATTTGGCTTACCTTTGGGGGTGGGTGTCCAATAATATGCAAGCCTCTTATAAAGCCTAATGTATAAAGGAGGTCGAGATATCTTCTGCTCTGGCTCCTCAGGTGGCCTTGGAATAGGGCCCAAATAGGTAAGGGAAGCTAGATGTTTCTGAGGCCATTCCTTGAAGGAGGAAAAGCATCACCATTAACACAGTATGAAAATGTATGAGTATTCCAACGCAGACTGAAAAAACGGATGGCCATAAAACAGGTGCAAAGAAGTGACAGCAAGGTAGAAAATCACAGATAGGAAAAGGGCTACTTTCTCCATTCAATTATTCTACTAGCTGCCCTCCATTCTCCATACAGAGCCGTGATTGGAATGCGGTACTGCAAGCTAACTCACTGCTCACTCCAGGAGTTTGATTCTGAATGGCTCAAGGTTGACTCAGCCTTCCATCTTTCCAGGGTGGGTAAAACGAGGACCCATATTGTTATGGGCAATATGCTGATTCTGTAAACCGCTTAGAGAGAACTGTAAAGCACTATGAAGCAGAATATAAGTCTAAGTGCTATTATTATATTATTATTCTCATTTAGGGAATAAGGTCTTGAGTCAAGTGGTAGGGAGGGAAACATTTAACTATCCCATTTTCTGTTTCTGCTCTTGTCAGCTATTTGTAACTGAATTATTCAGGTCATTTCATGCTGAATGCACAGGTCAACCTTAAGCCCTATCATGTTTCACAAGGAAGAACAAGAACATGCAATCTTTAAACACAGAATATTCTCCCTGGCAGAGAAAGCAGAATATGAAACAGCAAAAGTTACAAAGGAGTTCAAATAGTAAAATGGACTGTGTGACTATGCCTATCTTTTTAATAAACCACATGTACTGATAAAAAACCATGGAACCTAGGTAAAAAAATACATGGCCTAAAGCATCTCAGAATTTCCGAGTAAGAAATAGTGGCATGCAGAAACCTTAATTTAGTCTCCTGTTTCAATAAATGAAAGGATTTAACGATTACACCAGTTTTAATACTGATCATAAAATCACAGAATATAAGCACTGAAAAGTCCCTCAGAGATTATCCCTACTGTAGCATCCCTCACAGATGCCTCCCCTTAAACACCTTCACTGATGGAGAATCCAGCACTGTTTCATTGTTAAAAAGCTCTTTCCATTTAGAAAAAATTCCTGATATTCAACTGATGCCTACATTCTTATAATTGAATCCCGTTGTTTCTTGCCCCCTCTTCTGGAATAATTCTAAATAAGTTCTTTGCATCTCCATTGTTGAAAATAGCTATCACATTTCCCTGCAATCTTCTCTTTTCTGGCTAAACAGGTTCCCAAGCTTTCCTCTTAATTTTTTTCCCTTCTTTCAGGCATCTTGTCATACTCCAGTCCAATGTCCTATCTAAAATGAGACAGCCAGAATTGCACACAATATTTTATGTGTATCAAAGAAGAACAGATAACAGTGGCTTTCCCCCTCTATCCTATGCACATATATTTCATTTTTCCTATCCATATATAGGGCTTTGCATTTGTCCCTGTTGAAATTCACCTTGCTGGTTTTTGCTTTATGATCTGTCTTGTCAAGTTCTTCATGAATTTTGCTACTAACTAACTCTTAACTTTGTTTCATGTGCAAATTTGCTAATCATGTTTTCTACTCCCTCTTCCAAATAATATATAAATATATTAACAGCATTGGGTCTAGAAAAGAGCTTTGCAATAAACATGCCCTCCAGCTTGACAAAAAGCCATTGGATAGAACAGTACATCTATCTAGCTTTGTATTTAGCTAAGGATAGCATAATCCAGTCCACATTTTGTCAACTTCTTTATTTCCCTTGTTGAATAGGATGGAAATGAATAATTTATTTCTTTCCATGTCATAGCTACAAGCAAACTCTGGATTCTTTGGTTTAAACCAAGGCAGGTAACTTTTGTGATCTTTAAAGAATAGCTAAATTTTGGTGGCAGAATTGTTAAAAATCAGCAACTGGTATTCTGAGTTGGAAAATATATAATTACTTAATTACTATATTGTATAAATTATAGAATAGGCTTTCAAAACTTCCTTCCCAAAAAATTCAAAATGGAAATCTTTGTCCATTCCTACAATTTGTCCAGTCCTACAATTATATGTGACATTTTGTCTCTGTCCACTATAGCCCTCACCCTAACTGTTGAATATTAATCCTAGACCATCGTAATCTAACCAAACTTTTTCCACCTTGTGCTCCCTGTTCATCATCCCAAACTAATACAATGGCTACTAATTACAGATATTGTTTGTTGTTCAAGATGAGGAAAGGCAGTGAATGAAGCGAGTACCAGCGGGATGGGGTGGGGATGGAGATGATCTCCATCAGGTCTTTGAAACATGTGCATTATTTATGTTGCGGCATTTCAAACATTGGGATATTTTATTATTTGTTAAGAAATCAGTAGAAGGCCCTTAACGGGAAAATATGTGTCTCCTTTACATTATAATCATTCAATATTTGAGACCTTTAAAACTATGGCAATTAACCCTTCTGCTCAATTTGTGACTGGCTGGCTATAAGAGGTAACAGTCCTCTATGCTGTATTTATAGGCACCACTTACATCAACTGAATAGGGTGAATCATTAGCATAACAAAAGCCCCAAGAGAAGATTGCACTAAAGGAAGACAGCAGGGTACAGTAGATTTTAATGGCTCTCACTGCATCACAGCATTCCTTTGCTGATTCCTTTGCTTATTTTATTCATAGGACAGCAATTATTTTAATTGCATTCCGTGATTCTGTTTTATAAAAGATCTTTATTTCTGCCACCACTTGCTTGGCAAAACATACATCAAATGACTTCACATCAGTTCCATTTTGAGTAGCAGCCTTGGATTTGTTTGAAGTACCTAAAATTATACTCCCATGAACAATCCAAGTAGAATTGTGTGGCATGCACAAATATAAGAAGCTGTCTTCTAACAAGTAAGATTATGGATAACTAAGTCTCCGAAATGTTATCAATTATCAGCAATATATGTATGTATGTATGTATGTATGTATGTATGTATGTATGTATGTATGCATGCATGCATGTATGTGTGTGTGTATACATACATACATATATCCATCTCATGAGAGATGCTGAGACTGAATCTGGAACCTTATTTTCTCTTCCACTCTCTCTCCCTCCCTCAAATTTGGAAAACATACGACTCCTTCACAAAGGGCACTGTGGGTGATGAATGCAAGCAAATATATATTATAACATTAATCTACATCAGAGATGTCAAACTTGATTTCATTGAGAGCCGCATCAGGATTGTGTTTGACCTTCAGGAGAGCATGGCCAGGGGCGTGGCCAGCTCCATGTCACTCATTGAGCTCCGTTTTCAGCAGCGATGGCCTCCTGCAGCCCTCTGCAGTGAAAATGGAGCTTGGCAGGCCATCACAGCTGAAAACGGAGCCCGGGTGAGTCATGGGCGGCCTCCCTGAGTTCGTTTTTGCTGGCAGAGGGCTGCAGGAGGCTGTTGCAGCTGAAAACAGAGCTTGGGAGGGCTGCGCATGGCCCTCCATTTTTGCTGGCAGAGGCACCGGGGGACCGTCCTTCGTTGTTTCCAGGGTGGGCCTGCAGGCCAGATCTAAGCACCCCAAGGGCCGGATTCGGCCTGAGGGCCTTGAGTTTGACACCTCTGATCTACATGCAATCTTAGAGCCTTAAATCATTCAGTGAATTTACATATGCGAAAATTCAGGACAAGGAAGTACTTCTTTATATGATAGATAACCGTGCTATGGAAGCTGATACAATGAGATCCACAGTGCAGTTATCTGTTGTATACCATCACTACCACTTTCAACAATGAAGAGTTAGGCTATTGAGGGTTACTACTATTGATACCTGTAACTGTCTATGGGAATTCCCAGACATCCAGGTCATAGTTGTCCCAAAGGTGTATTTTGAAGACAGCTGGACTTTCTTGTTTTTTTTCTGTTGAAGACGTTTCTCTTCTCATCCAAGAAGCTTCTTCAGCTCTGACTGGATGGTGAGGAATGGAAGGTTCCATTTATACCCAAGGAATATAAATCTTTCTATTGCTCACCATCCAGTCAGAGCTGAAGAAGCTTCTTGGATGAGAAGAGAAACGTCTTCAAAGCAAAACAAGAAAGTCCAGTCCCTTCTTGAAAAAGCACCTTTGGAATACCTGTAACAGTTTCCTGAATAACAGAGTTTGTGTTAAATATCAACTTCTAAGGGCTGGAGGGAGGGAGGGAGGAAGAGGAGAACAAATGTCTTGTTATGCATAGCTGTTATCATTTAGCAGACCATTGTGTAACAGGGGACTAGATGTACAGAAACTTTTTTAGTTTCCAGTAATGAAATAATATTGAGTGATTGATAATAATTACCTTCAATGTGTTAAAAAAATGGGCTGCCTGGATTTTCAGAGGTCCAAGATACCAGTATCTGGAACGTAGCAAAACAAAAAAAAGCAAAACTGAAATCTAAGGAAAGCAATTAGCATTTTAAATACATTTTTAATCCAAAGCATTTGTTACAGTTTTATACTTGTACATGATAGACAATAAAAAGACCATAAAAGAAGAGTGCAATTGGCTCTAGCTTCATGCTAATGCAAATGTGGCTTGGTAAAATCTGGTTTATCTAGAGGTCATCTGAATGTAGCAGTCTAACATGTCATACCCAGCCTAGCCCAGTGAACTACAATACTTAATTGCATGTTGCAGTGTTTCTCAACCTTTGTGACTTTAAGATTTGTGGACTTCAATTCCCAGAATTCTCCAGTCAACTGTGCTGGCTGGGGAATTCTGAGAGTTGAAGTCCACAGATCTTAAGAATCGCCAAGGTTGAGAAACACTGGCATATTGCTATTTCTATACTGTCCTGCTTTTACTTCTTACCAAGCAAGTGTACTGAGCTGGTGACTTCCTGCTGCAGAAGCCAGAGCATCCCTCCATACAAAGCGTGTTCATATTTATGTGGTTTAGAATCTTAAAACTTTAATCAGCTTTGGCAAAGTTGAAAAGTTCAGAGAAAAAGTTTTAACAGGAAAAAGAAGTCTACTAAAATAGAACAAGAAACAATAGCTTCAATCTGTCTCTCAGAAGATTCACACAATCAGCCTACATACAAATACACAATGTTCTTACATCAATTTTAAAAGCAGCCCCATTCCACATCTATCACAAATTAATAGTTATCACAGGATAAACAGAAGATAGTTTACTAAAAAGGAAGTACCTATTTCTTCAGAGGAGCACTTAGGAGGAAAGCAATAGTGAACTGTTCATCTCAGACCTGGGAGAGAGGTAATGTCATGCCCCTGGTGGAGATTGACTCTGAGCAGTCAGAGGAGGACCCAGGCCCATCCCCTATCCATCCTAGAGCACTCAGGGAGGAGAGGATCAGGGTAAAACATGGTCTACTCAGGAGGAGAGGATTAGGGTAAAATGTGGTCTACTTGGGAGGAGAGGGCCATGATCCTCTTCATGGGTCGCAGGTGTAAGATCTGCATAAGAGTTTGGACCTGCGTGCTAACAGACACTGGAGACAAATTAGTGTTTTATTCCTAAAGAAGGTTTATCTTGGTTGGCGTTCTTCCAACAGACTGTACCTGGTTATCTTCCTGAAGTTGGCAATTATCTATCCTGGTCTATCGTGGAACTTTATTCAGTGTGGTTTGTTTTTGGTTTTGGCTTCGTTATCGGCTCTTTGAATTTGAACTGTGTTTCTTTCCTTTGAAATGTTATTTTAAAAATAGTTTACTCCTCCACTGTGAACAATTAAACAGTGAAGCCAAGTTGAAGGCATTAAAGGACTTTTATTTACATTTTGGTTTTTGTTATATTTCTGATATACTCTGGGTCATCACAGGTAACCATTTAGAATAGATAACTGGTTCATTCATGTAGAACTCTATATGAGTCTTCATGTGAACCTACAGCCACTCACTTATAACACTATACTCCTATATTGTATAGGTGATTATATATAATTTTCAATCCTATCTGGTTCAAAAATAGATATTATATAGATGACCATGGATGATCAATGGATACCAGATGGTTCTTTGATAACAGATTATACATAGAGGGCCACTATATAGAAACCACAAATCCGTTTCATGCAGTCCGTGTCAAGTAACTTTCTATCAATTAGGGAGGCTCTTGGTAAAATACTATGACTCAAACTCTTTTCTCAAGAGAAAGAGAAGCAGTGCCTTGAGAATGAGGAATTAATCATCAGAGCTTCAGAAACTTATGGAATTAAAACCAGAAGGAATAGAAATCTTCAGGCTGGTGGGACTAAAATAGATTGGTAACAATGAGTTTGGAACAAGGTCTCAATGGAAGTAACATACAGGAGAAAAGATAGAGGTAATATACAGGTTACAGCAAAATATTTACTTACTTGCTGACTTTTGCTCCTGCATCTCTGTAAGAGCCCCACCGTAAGCCATTGACAGCAAATACTGGCTGTTCTTTGTTCCCCTTTCCATAATGGAAAACGCAAAAACAGAAATCTTGTTTTGTACAGAGGCAGCCAAACATTAATTACATTAATCTAGTGATATGAACATCAGCAGAATACATATGTATGGCTTGTATTAAAAATACAAATTAAAAATACTGACCATCGTATGTTATCTTGGCATGTCCATAGAAAAGAATTGTTAAATTATAATAAATTAATGCAAATGGAGTTTAGCTCCATCTTTTCAACCGATTTCATTTTGTGAGCAAAAAGCGAAACAGTTTATTTAGCAACTTTGCTTGATATGCCTTGCTGAAATAAAAGGATTTTCTTCCTCTTCTTCCTTCTCAGGCTACTATTTTCACTGTATGAAGCAGGTAAGCAAAAAATAGATAGCCAGATATGCTTTCACAGAATGAAATCATTCTACGGTTTGGCAGTGGGCAATGTTATCTGCAACAATTAACTAAAAACTTAAAAGCAGCATTGCCTAGCTAAATAACAAAGCAAATACCTTGTGCTACCTATGTGAATGCAACTGTCTTTCACATATGCAATATTATTTGTATTATAATAATATTTTAAACATGCCTTAACAATTCTTTTGCCGTATATTGCTATTAAACAAGCTCTTTTAGATTAACTGGTTCTATCAAAATAAGTAATCAGAATGGCATATGACCCAAAATAAGAACGTGCAAATGTAGAAACAAAAATAACATTCCCAAATACAACATTTACAAATGAAATATGGCTACCTTAATCTGCAATACATCAAGTTGAACTGTCTCTCCTCTCAGTATGGACAACGTGGCATCAATGATACACCTTAGGGAAAAATAGAGGATAACATAGAAGTCAAGCAAGAGTATGTAGTCCTTAACTTATAGTAAAATCCATCACCAATTAAAACATCTTGTGTAATAGAATTGGGAACATGTGATACCCAAAAGATTGCTATAGGTCAGTGTTGATGACCTTGGGATCAAGTGAGCATCAGCCTTGCCTGATTAGCATCTTCTAACCTAGTATCTTCTATAATGGGCTGCTAATAAATTTGAACAAGCAAAGCAAGCAAGCAAGCAGGCAAGCAGGCAAGCAAGCAAGCAAAGGTCTTGAAACTTAACTCCTACCATTATATATAGGGACTGCAAGCTTTCTAGTTGTGCAAGATATTTTGGTGACCTTGAATACCTTCAACTGCAGTTATCATTCTGGAATGCTTGAAAGGACTTAAAACTGGAGACTGCTTCTTTCTTGGACTTAATGCACTATTATTTCTCTTCACTGGCATCTTATTTCCCGGAACTCAGAAAACCAAGGACAACCTCAGGATCAACACACAGCGAAGGCCATTCAGGAACAATCTCATTAAGAGACCTTGATGCCTCCATATTCTAAACACCAATAGGCTCCAGACAGAACTACCCTCCAATTGTTGGGAAAACCGTCAAACCCAAAGCCTGTTGTGGACCAATGTAACTGCTCTTTTCTTTAATGGTATGTGGGAATGACCTTGAGAGACAAGAGGAAGAGTCAAAACCAGACAATGGTCAAACAAGCAGCAGCTGAGTTCATTGAAAAAATGGGTGTATGGGAAATGTCTCAGAAGAAGTTAATCCTCCCTAGTTCTTGGACTGAAAAGGTGGACAGAGATGTATTTTCAGACTTGCAAATTTCTATTACTATAACAGAGTGTGCTTCTTGTCTGGACTAACTTGCAAGGCTGATATGTCTCCATGTTTGTGGCTTCAGTCAAATCCCATAGTCATCCAGAAGTGCTCTGTATCTTTTTCTCACCATTAGATCATGACCATATCAGAACTTAGTTGATCTAACTAATACACCAAGCTTAATGGTTTTCCCACAACCCCCAACACATTGAGCCTGTGATTATTTGGACAAGTCCATTGTTGTTCTGGTGGCTGCCTTGAAATTCTGAGCTTTCACCCAATAACTCCAGGGACAGCAGACTGAAGAGGTGGAATTGGGGGGGTTGGTTTTGTAAAACCTTTTGTAAAGCCAAAAGCAAATAAAACACATTACGGCTTGGTATGCTATTCATAATAGGTTTTAAGCTGTCAGATGGAGATTTGTATCTTCATTAAGGAATAGATAGGCACTCTTTCACAGCAACAGATTTCATAATATTGCTAGAAAAGTACCAGAGTCCATATCATGCAAAGCTCTTTTTAAAGGAAGGTCAAAATACAAATAGACTAAAAATGAAACATGCTGTTTTAAGTACCAAAAAAGTAAATGGATTTTCCATCGATGTCACCATGAATTCATACTTACTGGACTTGGTTATCGTTCTTAGTATAAAGTGTGTGACTTAAAGTGCTGGTCTTTCCAAGAGGAATGAATCCAATGGGAATTTTACTGAAAGATGCCTGGGAACGAGAACAAAACAAGTCCCATCAACTGAATTCAATTCCCTTTTTCAGGAAGCACAGTTTTGCTTAATATCATCCCACCCACCCCCTCCACCTATTCTCCATGGAATGGAACAGGCAGATACTTCCTGAGAGACTATGGCAGAGAATTGGTCAGAATGATAGGCTATTCTGACAGCCCTCCAAGTGTCAACTGGTTCCAAAGCAGGCTTTGGTAATCATTAGGCGCATTGTTATTAAAAGCTGGCACACATGCCCCAATCAATGTATGATTCCATTAGGGAACCAGCTATCGATAATAAACTGGAAGGTAGCATCTGGGGCATAGACGAAACATTTGGGCCTTGTTGGTCTTCAAACAAAGTAGAGACAGAAATAAACACTGTATTTCAAAGCATCTTTTCCAGTAAAAAGAAAGTTCAGCAGCACCCTGGCAATCAGGCTGGTTGAACATGAATATATAATTAACCAACTCTTTTTAAACACATAGATTTGCAAATGGATCTTTATCTCTGCCAACTGGATTAGAGGGAAAGAACAGAAGGGGACACAGAATGGATACAAGAAGTGATTTGATTAAAAGAAAAAAAAACATCACATGATGAGTCATGGCTTAGAATTTGAAGTTTCAAATGCAGTCCTGATTTCCCCGGATATACAGGTAGCCCTCACAACTGAGCCGAACATTTACGTTGCTGAGTGAGAACTTCGTTAAGTGAGGTTTGCCCCATTTTACGATTTTTCTTGCCGCATTTGTTAAGCGAATCACTGCAGTTGTTAAGTCTGTGACACGGTTGTTAAGTGAATATGGCTTCCCCATTGACTTGGCTTGTCAGAAGTTTGCAAACGGGGAACACATGGCTCTGGGACACTAGAACCGTCATAAATACGAGTCAGCTGTCAAGCACCTACATTTTAATCATGTGACCATGGGATGCTGCAACTAAGTCCCTTGTTTCAGGGCTGTTGTAACATTGGGACAGTCACTAAACAGTTGTAAGTCAAGGACTACCTGTGCTGGCTGCCATAAATTGTTGGCTAGAAACCACACTTGGTAAGATACAGTAAAAGCCATTGTAATGGACCACACTCAGGCATCCTCATAAACTGTGCTCTTTGAAGAATTGTAGCAAATTAAGTTTAATGACCATGTAACCACAGTATCCTGAATCTCTGCAGATTACTGCAGCTTGCAGCACCATTTCTCAAAAATCTAATTTATTTCATTATGGTTTTCCATCATTTCTGCCTGCACACATTCCTGTTATTAAATTCTCTACTGCAGTCCCCTTCCTCAATTGATTTTCTTCTCCTACCTCACAACAGGGTAGTCTGGGTTTCTTCTCTATCTGACCAAGGAGTTAATTGGACAGGATGTTACCTGGGACTAGAACCTGCATTTCCAGAATACTATTGTGCAGAATAATTTTGGGCTACAGGAAATAGCACTGTGACATTTTATTATACAAGGTGAAGTTGCAAAAAATGAGTGAGCATTTATGAGAAATACTCCAATGCCACCCCACTAAACAAAAAGGTAATATGTGGAGGAAGTTCCTAATAAGTGGCGATGTATAATCTAGTTCACGAGTGTCCAACTCAAGGCCCGTGGGCCGGATCCAAAAACGTAGTCACCGAACCGGTTGTAACACTGGTTGAATCCCACCCCTGTTGTTCTCCCTCACGTGTGGAACAGAATTCATAATAGCCTCCATTTCCATCATTGAGAATCAGGGAGATGGGATACAAATGTATCAGTTCAGGTAAAATTAATGAAAGCTAGGTGAAACACACCAAGAAATCAGTAGGGCTTACAATTTAATATGAACAAGTAATAATCACTGGCTATAAAAATTTCAGGGTGGCTAGAATTTTGAAATTAAGTTTGCCCTAGAAAAATATATCTTACCTCATCTGCTCTTCGGAGAAGCCCAGTTATAACCTGAAAAAGAAAGAAAGAAAGAAAGAAAGAAAGAAAGAAAGAAAGAAAGAAAGAAAGAAAGAAAGAAAGGAAGGAAGGAAGGAAGGAAGGAAGGAAGGAAGGAAGGAAGGAAG